ATCTAATGAACTATGGTGACTACTACGCTACACATACGTTCAAAAATCTTTTTCTTATTTCAATCGAAACCTATCTACAAACAGAACTAAATAAAGCACGAATTAACGAAAAAGGAATTGTTGAAGAGAGAATAGATGGTAGAACTTTTTAAAATAATTGTATAGATTTTTAATATGTAGTTTTCTAGAGACTTCAACGCCTTTCTACGATGAACAAAGAGAAGATAAAAACGAAATCGAAGAACAATTCTTATTAGAACCCACAAAAACTAACAGCGGCGATCAGTATGTCTTGGTCAATACTCGTCTTGACTATCAGCATCGATCAAAGGATCTAAGTACATTGTGCTTATACCGGGTGTAGCAAAAGTTGTGCGACATTTTTTGTTTTGCATGTAACTCTGTTCAGAAACATGACCATAAATTGATCTTTTTCTCAAAAGATGCGCCATCAAATTCTCTACAAACTTCTATTCGTCTTAGTTTAGAACAATAGAACTGAGCTTCTTTTATAGGTCGCATATTATGATTATGTGAAATGAGCCTACTTCCCACACGTTTTTCAGTAATTTATTCTTTTTATAGAAGTGAATATTTGATTCTTAGAACATTATATAACACTAGATAGCTCTTGAAATCCTCTGTCGATTGCTTATGTATACGAAGTTTTTCAACGCTCATTCCTTTGGTTTGACGCATGACCATATTTTGAAAAAAGCGCAATTTTCATGTCTGTTTTTTCTTTTCAAAGAAAGCACTCTAGAAATGTCATCTATGACTGAATCGTTTTTATTTTTGCAGTATTTTGTAGAAAATTGATTTCTCTTTCTATGTAGAGTTCAGACAACGCTCGAAAACCAATTCAGCCGAAGGAAAGATCCGAATAGCATCAAGAAGACTGTTTTCGTTATGGTAGCTCAGACAGATTATAGTTTTTAGACAAACATAGATGGCGATCAAGCGCTTACAAATAATTCTGAAAGAGCATTCGATATACATTCAAATTAAAAATAGAAAGTCTCTCACATGCCTGTTTATAACTTCGAAAAGATTGTTGGAGAAACAGAAAAAAGTGTGTGGGAAGTAGGCTCATTTCACACAATCATAATATGCGACCTATAAAAGAAGTTCAATTCTATTGTTATAGACTAAGACGAATAGAAGTTTGTAGAGAATTTGATGGCGCATCTTTTGAGAAAAAGATCAATTTATGGTCATGTTTCTGAACAGAGTTACATGCAAAACAAAAAATGTCGCAAAACTTTTGCAACACCCGGTATGACTTTGTGAGCCATTTTCACAAGAAGGTTATCGACAAATCTGATCGTCATTTACTAACGAATGTATCCGATCCTCAAGGCCGACAATTACCTACAGAAGGAACGAAAATGAATGAACGTCATACATTTGGCAGTGTACATCCACAATCAACATCTCATCTCCTAATTAAACGCTCCATTCCAGTAGTACCAGTTCTGATAGGTCCTCAAATACCTCGCCGCGAACGAGAAGAAACGCATGAACGTTATTGTCGCGCATTGTTAACATTATTCGTTCCATGGCG